ACCAACCACGTGTTGAGGTGCCTCATGATGAGGACCTCAAGTATCAGATACTTTATGAGGCTCATGATACACCACTTGGTGGTCATTTAGGTCGTGAGAAGACCTACAGCTCGGTGAGCACCCATTATTGGTGGCTTAAGTTGTATAAATGGGTTAGTACATATGTACGCACATGTGAAACGTGTCAAAAGGTGAAGCTCTCGCCTAGTATGGCTGCGCCTTTGGCGAGTTTGCCTGTACCCTCGGGATTGTGGCAGCCATTAGTATGGACGTTGTGTTTGGCTTACCACGTGATGCGGCAGGCAACACTGGGATTGTAGTCTTTGATGACTAACTGAGCAAGATGGCTCACTTAGCGGCTGTGCCGGACTCCATTGATGGAGATGGAACAGCAAAGCTGTTCATGGATCGTGTGTTTCTACAACAAGGATTGCCTGTGGCAATCGTCTCGGATAGAGACTCCGTTTTACGGGCAAGTTTTAGACGTCCGTCTTCAAAGTGCTGGGCACTCGACTGGACATGTCCACGACGGATCATCCGCAGACCAATGGTCAGACTGGACGTGTCAACCGCATTATTGGTGATATGCTTCGAGCGTTTGTGCTGAGCCACCCAAGCAATGGAGCACGATGTCCCACTTATTGAGTTTGCGTTGAATAATGCGGTGCATGCCTCGACAGGCTTCATCCCATTCTATGTGAATGGTTTGGTTAACCCTCGCGTTCCGTTAACGCTACCTCCTGCCACATCAGGGATTAGTGGGGGAGAGATAGCCAAAGGCTTGGCTGATATCAGCCCTGTTGCGATGAGCAAGATGGTGGAAGCGTATCTGTTAACGCGTTTTGACGTATTACGTCGCTTCAAAGAGGCTTTTGTTAAACGCTAGGAATTTACCGACACGTGCAGTGTCTGCGGTATATAAAACCAAACTACGTCCACGCTTCATTGAACGTTTTAAGGTCATAAGCAAGAAAGGCTTAGCCTCTACGCTGAACCTTTCTCAAGAAGATGCGAACACACCCTGCGTTCTACGTGGCTTTCTAAAGCCATATCTCAACCCAGCATCGGTGGACTTCGAGGGGCTGTCCCCATATCCTCGACCGAAGGAGGCGGATAGTACTGCACCGGAGGTGCATATGGACTCTGGAGGCGTACCAGGAGGTTAAGTTGACATCGAAGCTCGGCTTGAGAACGCTCAATCGCCTCTAAGCGATCCGGGGTCTTAGAGCGATAGCACTCAAGGATCGACGGTGTCGATCGACACGGTCATCGAGCGATGACAGGTGAGACTTCGCCGATACAAGAGCATCACGCTCCAGGAGTTTCAGCGACGCTCAATCTTAGATAGATGAGAAGTCAATGGATCATCGACCTTTTCCAACGCTGATTGATGACCGGGGTCATCAACAGCTCCACGTGGAACGTCTCTTGGCTCGGCGTCGTCACCAGGGTCAAACTCAATACTTGGTGAAGTGGAGGGGTTACCCCCCAGTCGTACGACTCGTGGAAGCATGAGGTACTCCTCAGACAGGATCGCCTTGATGCCGTTGACGCTTTCGACCATGACGTCAAAAGCGACGGCAGCTGTCGTTGGATGCTTCCTAGCACTATACTAAACGGGTGAACTAGTGCTTATCTTGTGCAGATGTTTCACCTGGTGCAAGCACCACTGGTATGCCGTTTAGTGGGTTCACGTGCACCCACAGGACTGTCGTATCAGTCGCTCCTGATACAATTTCATCGTAAACTCCTGGAAAGTAAGGATCCGCTTAGGAAGCGCGGCACGATCCGCATCCTTGCAAGCAGCACGGGCATGGGATCCAATGAAATAGGTTCGCAAAGATTGCGATGCAGCTCGTCGAGCTTTCTCATTGGTGTCACGAGGCATGAACCCATAATCACGTCGTGAAAATGTTTGTTTAGGCCGTGCCAAAGCGGCCGCCTGGGCCTCGTCATCAAGTTGACGACGCTGTGAAGCTTCCAGAGGGTTGAATACATCTTCATCAGTATCCTCTAGCGAGGAAATCGGTGGCGCTTGGCGTGATGCAGTTGGTTCCCTTGGGAGAGAAGGCACCGAACGGGATTGGCGTCTCTCGCTCGGTGAGCGTAGGGTTTGTGAATCCTCTGATCCAATGGAGACTTGGCGTTGCTGCCCCTAGAAGCAACGTCACTGTCATCGTCCCCAATGATGTCTCGACTCATTGCAGCATCCATACTGCAACACGCGCAATAGGGATAAGTGCTATAAAGGAAGGGTTGAGAACACTGTAATGCTGAAAGGCAAGTGCTAGGCACGTAATGCTGTAAAAGTAAGTGTTCGCGAACACACAAAGGGTATTAATACCAGTGCTAGGCACTAAAAGACTATAGGCAAGTGTCGTAACATTATATACTGTTGCGTGAGTGCAATGCACTGGATGTTCTAAGAGCAAGTGTCTTAACACTAGAATGATTAGATAGCGTAAGTGCAAAGCACAGGTCCTCAAGGAGAAAGTGTTGAAAACACTAATGCTTTGTTCGCAAGTGCCAGGCACTTATCGCAAGGCAAGTAAAATGGGAAGAAAATCAAAATCGATGCCTTAATTAAGTGCAAATATTCGTGGGTACGTCGGGTCCCAAAGATTGGTGGGCGAGGGTGTAACAAGGTTACACCGAGGTGTGTATTGTACATACATACCTGCCACACTAATGTGGTGTAGCTGTACCTTGGGTACAAAAGTAGGTGATGTGACCGTACCTGAAGTACGAAGGGTCGCATCGTGGCAGAGAGCCACGTGATCACTATACTTAGTTTAGTATATTGACTATACATGTTTGTATAATAATAAAAGTCTAAAGAGCCAGTTTAGTGACTAGCACTAACTATAGAGTAGGTGCTTCAATATTTCGTGCTAGAAGATAAACATTACAATAAATCATTTTTGATTTATAGTAATAAAAAGCTTTATAAAGTACTGCTCTGTATAGCATTAGTTGCTAGAGGATTGTTCTCCGTGTAGGAATTGTATCTTTGATACTAGCCTCTTGTTGACGCGGTTGCTTGCAACCAAAAGCATAAGTTTGCGAAGCTAGCCTTGCGAGGATTAAGAGACATAAGATGTATAAGCTCTTAAAGCTTGTCTTCCTCTGCACTCAGTGCATAAGTAGCTTGGCTACAGTAGCTCAGCTTCAAGCTTTGTTCTGGGTTCAAGTCTTTGTGCACTGACAAGAACGCATTATGTGACTTCTTAGTGAAGAATTTACTTTCGCCCCGCTTGATTCATATCTATTTATTGTTTACACGTAATTCTGAATCTTTATCACCTTTCCTGCTACCGTATGTCATGGCGATCCCTTGATCCTTATTTAGATTGCGATAAGTGGTTCATGCTGTCTGGAACATAATATACGTTATATGACGTTACGATGTTCTTCTGTGTATCACATTCCACCACATTCTGGACAGTGTCATGACCAAATGGCGTCGTGTCAATAGAAACGATGCACGCTATCAGATGCCATTCTTGTGCAAAAGGCTCGTTATCAAAAAAATATCGTAGATCAGTATACCACATTCTGGACAGTGTCATGACCAAATGGCGTCGTGTAATAGAAACGATGACGCTATCAGATGCCATTCTTGTTCAAAAGGCTCGTTAAAAAAATATCGTAGATCAGTATACCACATTCTGGACAGTGTATGACCAAATGGCGTCGTGTCAATAGAAACGATGCACGCTATCAGATGCCATTCTTGTGCAAAAGGCTCGTTATCAAAAAAATATCGTAGATCAGTATACATGAGCATTTTCAGGATCATCCAGACACTACTGCCAGACTAAGTGGTCACTAGACCTATGACCGCTCTTGTGTTGTCTCTTACCCGTGGGTGCCACACTCTTACCAGTGGGTCTCATCCCCTTCCTTTAACTGAGATTTTCATCAAACTTCGGCTTGCTTGACTGTCTGTGCTCCATATTGGTTGTCGTTAGATTACGTTCTGACTGCAAGTTCTTCGTAAATTTGGCATGTCTTTCATTGTTCCTGGTGGTATTGTGCATAACGGGACAGCCTGTCATTCTATGTCCTGGATGATGACAGTAAAGACAATTTTATTGCTTCTTGTCTGTCACTCAACTGGGTACCGAGCCTCAAAGTAGACCTCGCAGTCGCTCAGGTGTTTTCAACGTTGGACACCAATTTGCGAGCGGCACAACGCGCGGGATCGTGGGGGTAGTCGACAGCGTCGGAGGCGGTCACCATCTTTCTACTGGGTCCAGAGTCCTCATCAACGCCAGGGACATTGGGAACCAATTACTACGAGGCTTCTACGTGTCGTCGTTTAGATAGCAACCCAACTAACGGACCTTATGATGCGTCTAAGTCCGACTCTTCAATGGCACCGAGTCGCTACTCGGGGTATGGTGGAAGGTACCTTCATGATCAACGATACGGTCCACACAACACTTGATGCATCAACCAAGGTAGAGAAGCGTCACGATGGAAGGCCTCTTGCGATGAGCGCCGATTCACATAATCTGATGCCTGTGCCGACAAGCGGCGAGCTGCGGATGCTACGTGCTGAGACTGAGGAGGCGAAGAATGGCTTACTGGATGCTCGTGAGATGGCCAAAAGTGCTTAAGATCGTGCGGCGGCTGCGACGGAGGCTGCTGAGAGGACTCGACGGGAGCAGCAGGTGTTGGTGGATCGTCTTCGCCAACTCGATACTGCCGCTTTTGGAAGGCATCAGCAGAACGAGTCTGCACGCCATCGGGCAGGACTTGGTCCCAGTCGTTGGCAGCGTCGTCACCTGGGGATATCAGATGTTAGGCTGGCATCGAAGAATAAGGAAGGTTCGAAAGAAGATCAGCCGGAAGGTACACTTAAAGGCGCCTGACATAGAATGTCGGGTGCAAGCGCATAGTGGTAGGTATGTCTAGCGTAAAGGCATCTCCATGAACTTTGATAACTCGAAAGGGACCAATATATCTTAAAGTTACTTTGGTGGCGTCCAAATTCGTCACGGATGTGCTTGCAGCCTACTTGTCGAAAATAGGGCTTTATCACCTTCGTTAAATATTGACAGGTGCTTTCGACCTCGCTTGGCCTCGTTCTCTTTTTGCTTGTCGACGGCTTGTTGAAGGGCATCATGTACAAAGCGTGTAATTCCTTGTCGGAGCAATATAAGATCGGTCACAGCAGCCGAGCTAATAAGTGAAGTGAACTCTGTAGGAGCAAAATTAGCTAAGGAGGGCGTGACGGGATGCATCGTGTCGGGACTTGAGACGCCGTTGGCCACAAAATTAACAGCATGAGACGCATCGTGAGCGACCTTATCGACAACGTAATTAATCATCAAATGTTCAGGCGCAATGCCATCGGCAGATACTCCCCCACCAAGCGTAGAGCTCGTGTGTGGTGAATCTTTGAAAGCAAGATGCGCTGAAACGCGAGGGTGCCTCGCGGTGCTCACAAAAAATGTCGTCAATCCTGTTGACGCATCGACTGCATTGTTGATTGCAAATCTGGCGAGTGGAAGGAATAAGCTCCACGACGTGAACGATGTAGCATAACTACGCAGGACATCTTCGGAGCAATCGACTGATACACTCCGTTTACCCATCCGTTTCTGAATGGGCCGCCGTAGACATAAGCAAACGCGTGCCCAGTAATTAAAACAGCCCTGTCCGAAAAGCCGAAGTAAAGCGCGGGTCACGGTTGGAGACGATGTATTCTGGCAAGCCCTGGTGTCTGAATATGAGATCAATAAAGACCTCCGCGGTTTCCTCCGCTGTAATGCGCGCGGAGACTGGAGCAAAGTGCACCATCATGCTAAATCGATCCGCAAAAACCAAGTCGCCAGTAAGATTCTTCTCATACGGTAAATTCCAATGATGAAGTCCATACTGACGGAATGCCAGGCTTCCCTAATATGGAAGCGGTCGTAATGAGGCTTGAGAAGATGGCGGCACATTTCGTAAGAGCGTACCCATTTCTGGATGTACTTGTACATGCGTTTCCAGAAAAATACTCGAGAAATGACCGTTAACGTCTTTCGAGACCCACATGACCACCAGCTGGGGTGTCATGAAATTCATGCACCATTCGCGCTCGAAGGCCGTCATCAGCAGGGACGACTACGCGCGGTGGTTCAAAAACGTCCATATTGTACGTCAGTAGAGGACCATAAAGCCGAAAAGCTTGATGTCGTCACGCTTTAGTAAACGTCATTTTCGCGAGTGACACTTCACTAGGGTGCCGAAGAAAGTAGATAATTTTTGAGTAGAAGGAATCATACGACTCAGCGATCTGAGACCGATAGCACTCGTGTCGAGACCATTGCATTGACCACCAGTTCGGTACAGCACAATCAAATGTCATTGTCTTCATCATCGGGCATACCTGGCTAATGGCCATCGTCGCGTCGTAGTCGTAATCGGGACGCCGAGAAAGCGCGTCAGCAAGGATGCTATTCTTTTCGGGCTTGTAAAACACCACGTAGTTCGACTCTGATTGGAATGACAACTAACGAGCCATACGCTGAGACAGGTGAGGGGTCTTGACTGCGGTTCGCAGTGATGCGTGATCTGTATGTACTGAAAACATCTTCTCGCCGAGTTAATATACCCTGAACTCGATCAGAGCATAACGCATAGCCCAAAGGTTCTATATCGTGTACCGAATCATTTCTTTCGCCAGATTTCATCTGTTGTCGAACCACTGCACCAAATTATTCAAGGCCTCATTGGTCAGTGCTGTGTGAATATTAGTCCAAAACTTCCCTTAATTGACATCCGGGCACTTCTTCTGATTCTATTGGCTAGCTTCCAGCGAGACATCGACTCTTCGCACCCGGAAAGAATTGAACTCGCGTCAGTTGGGCTCATAATTTAATGTCATACCACTGCACCAAAACGGTCAAGACCTCTTTGGTCACTGTTGTTTCATTGTTTTTCCAACATCATCGGTCGCGACTGAAAACTCACGACGCGCTCTCGGCCCTCATCGTCATATTGCATGAGGGTACATCCAATCGCAAAGTTACTCGCGTCACAAACAACGTGAAAAGGCTTACTTTGTTGGGGGTGGGACACCAGATGACTAGGTATCGGCAAGGTCTTCATAAGCAATTCTAGGCGACTTACTCAAAGTTGCTCAGCCTCTCGCTACTGCTCAGCACGAGATTACTTCACCTGCCATAGAAGACGCGACTCAGACACCAATTGTGGAACACTTGTATTTCAACTCGTTTCATCGCCTGGTGCGACATCCCTAAGTGACACCGATGCAGAACGTTCGCGAATCCAGCTCCACAGCGACTGAAGCGTTCTTGCAACAACGTCAGTCCGTTGTGCGGTATGTGCACGATACTATCGCCTCTGCAGTGGACAAACAAAAGGCGTCCGCTGATCAGCAAGGACGCAAGAATCTAGAGAAGTTCAAAGTTGGCGATTTGGTACTGTTCTCATCAAATGGAATACGATATGCGTCGATTACAAATCTCGGTGCCACAAAGCTGGCACCGCAATATTTTGGTCCTTTTTAGGATCACCCAAGTCAAGGGTGATGCCTACACACTGGATAGTCCTTCTTCGATGCGTCCTCACCCAACCTTCTATGTTGTCCGTCTCAAGCGTTGCTTTCCGGCTGTTCTTCCGTCTTAAATGGACTCACCGCGGGTGCATACCGCGGTCCCCGATAACGTGGTTTCTTCGTCGGATCAGATTGGCGCAACTTACCCAACACCGCGTTGTCTCAACGAAGAAAGGCATTTAATTGTTCTAGTTGTCAGCACTGTCCATACTGCGCTTGATTCATCATGGAAGACGCAATGCGCAGTGACGTCTTTTTGAAGACGATGATAGTGACGTTGCCTCCGGGGGCAGCGGCGCCGAGTTTTCGTAGGGTCGTCTGACCCCGCGTCAATCACGCTTACCGATCAAGGGACGTCAATCGTTTTATATGTCCCTTATCCCAAGAGGAACTTCTGCGTTGATTAAAAAACGCTGCGTTCTTCTCCCGAGGGGACAAACGAAGAAGTAACTGATACTCTTGGCGCTGCTAAGCATCGTCAAAGCGATGACGAGACCCAAGCGGCCTCCTTGGCACGGCCCAATTGAGCACTATTCACGTCTTACTTATGGTTTCGTGCCCCGGGACCCAATGAGGAAGTTCGACGAGCTGCATCGCAATCTTTGCGAACCTATGTCATTAGGTGGGTCCCAGTACAGCGCTGCTTGCGAGGTTGCTGATCGTGCTGCTCTTCGTAAGCGGCTCCTTACTTCCCAGGAGTTTACGATGAAACCGTATCAGGAGAGACTGTCACGACAGTCACGTGGGTGCTTATGCACCCACTGAACGGCATACCAGTAGTGCTTGCACCAGGTAAAACATCTGCACAAGATGATCAACAGTTCACCCGTTGGGTAAAACGAGCATGTAAGCTCAAGTTTGTCAAACTTGCGCTTATACGCTAAAGGGCAAATAGTTTGGTTAGATCGTCGTCTACGTTTTATCTTTGCTAAGCTCAATACGAAGCGCCAATTACCCTCCACATACAGGTCAAAGACTTGTGGGGAGCAAGCTTCCGAAGCTGGTGCCCGCACCTTTCACTCGAGTGATGTACCGGCTTATTATTCGGTATTGGTATAATTATATTATGACTAAATCCTAATTTTAAAATTAGATTTTTATTTTCAATCATTACTTAAGTTTATTTTTATCAATTTTAATTTTCATTAATTTATGTTTAGGTATTGACGGTATTCTTCTGAAGGTCAGAGGCGAAGCCAGCCTACTGACCCTACTTTCACAGTACCTAGTGCTAGAAAGCGTCCTACGACAGCTGTCGTCGCTTCTGACGTCAACGGTGTCAGGCAATCCTGCCGGAGAGATACCTCATACTCCCACGAGTCGTACGACTAGGAGTAACCCCTTCACTACACCAAATATTGGGTATGACTCATGTGCGACGCCGAGCCAAGAGGCGTTCCACGTAAAACTATTGATGACCCCGGTCGTCAATCAGCGTCCGTGAGGGTCAATGAATCTTTGCAATTTTTATATCAATAAATAGCAGATATAATAAATAGATATTCTAAATATATTTCTCTCTTTTTAGTTTATGATTTTCCAAACAAAATTAAAGTATTTTGTTGAAATTTTAAAATTGAGCGTCGCCCGAAAAACCTGAAGCGTAATGCTCTTGGGTTCGTGACGTCTCACCTGTCATTGCTCGATGACCGTGTCGATCGTCACAGTCGATACTTTGAGAGTTGTTGCTCTCAGACCTCAGATCGCTTCGCGGCAATTAAGCGTTCTCAATCTGAGCTACGGTATCAACTTGACCTCCTGGTACACGTCCAGCGTCTATATGCACATCCGGTGCCAGATATCACTAGCTCGCATGAAAGTTGGTAATACCCATCGACTAAGTCGAGGGCACTGTAAATCGTACATCCCACCATATTGTTCTGAAGAACATCCTTGCAAGGAATTGGTGTTTGAGCCGGGATAGTGGCTGCATTCAGCTTATTGAAAGCATGCAAAATTCGCTACTTCCCATTGGACTTTCTCACACAAAACGTGGGCGTTGAGTGAGAAGACTTACTCTCACGCACCATGCCAGCCTCGTGCTTTGCACGAAAGAACTCGTCAATGACGTCACATTGTTCTCGTGGCAGCGGCCACTGTCGCGTCGCACAGCATTCAGTACCTGGAAGCACCAGTCATGTTGGCGAAATTTATGGTCTCGAATGGAGATGCCGATGGAAGAGATGGTGTTGACAAGGGAGTACGAACATGATCACGTCGCCCACGGCGATGACGTGACACAGGAGCACGAGCCGGTTGATATGACACGGGAGCTGCGTCTTGCCCGTGACACATCAATAGCTGCTATTTCGATGCTATCAACAGTCCGGTAGCATTACACTCGATCTCTCCCCGCATTTGTCGTACCACCAAGTTGGAATCTCCACAGATGATCAGTCGCCGTCGTTTTCGAGGCTCTAAAAGGTCGAAACCCAGTTGCATACTCTCCTACTCGGCCTCATTCATTCACTGTAGATGTAACGAGGAACTTCGAGGCAGCATTGACTATGGTCCAATTAGGTAATCTCCATACAATAGTGCTACAGGATCCACCTCCCTGTTTTACCCATCAAGACTTATGACTCTTTCTCAGGCTTCACAGTTGGTGTAAGTTGGTCGACTACTTGCCGCGCCTGTTTCTTGGGAGCAATTGATGACAAAATCGAGTCCACACTCTCGAGAGGAGTAATACTGGCTGCGAGCGCCCCGATTTCTTAGTCCTCGCTCTTCCTGCACTTAACAATCTTTATAGTCCATTGGGACAAGAAGGCAGCCCAATTGCCAAGACGTCCCCGTAATCCCGTAGACCGGACTAGCCAAGGCAATGTAGAATGCCTCGTTAGGACCTTGAGGGATCGAGTGACCAACATCGTAATACAAGTTTTTATTGTCCGTAATGAAGGCAGCACTTCTTTCTTCACTGTACGTTAGTCTAATTCGTTTGCTTAAGGATTCGACTCGTAAAAGTCTCCGGCAATAGAATGACACCATGGTCGTGCACCAACGACGTGGATATGGCCCATCCGCTTGCATAAACGATACTTACTGCCTCCTTGGACGGGTCAAAGTCTCGCAAGATTGGTGCTGTGGCAATCTTATATTGAGCATAGCGAAAGCTGCTTGGGCCCTGGACCATTTCCCCTTGTCTTCTGCCTTAGTCACCCTACTGTCCCCCGTCTTCAACCTACATCGCCAATTGTGAAAATTCACTTCTCGTAACTCATAGAGGATAGATGCATACACTGCATATTCTTCAATGAATATACCATAGTAATTCAGACTTCCAAGAAACGATTGCATGGATTTTAGTGTCATTGGCAACGGTAGGTAGACCAGGGACTGGAGGTTCTTTGGCTGGGCCTCTAGTCCTTGGTCCGAGACCCGGTGCCTTAGGGAGTCTACCTTCCGGTACCCCCCTGAGCTCTTGACCGCGCTGATCGATAGAATTCAATAGTAACACACATTTAATAGCCGTTCAGCCTTTCGCACACACATGTATCCCACGGGTCGGCCGGATCAGAATGTCATCTATGTAGGACCGCCGACCCAGTACCGAGGTGCTCGACTTTACATCAGGCTTCCCCATCGTAAACAAGTCTTCGGTCTCCTCTGTACCAGCTACTTGAGAGATATGTAAACCCATACAAAGCATTATCCAAGAGTCTCTGATATATTTGAGGCGAATTCTTGAGCTTAAATGTCATCCGCAGCCATTCAAAAAACCCCAATGAGGTGACAAAAGCTGAGATCCTTCTCGCCCTTTCGGTCAGGCCGACGACCCAAAAAACCGTTTGCCATGTCCGGAGAGCAGTAACACAATGCTCCGCTCAGGTCCTCCAACAATTTGTTGATCAGAAGCATAGGGTAGACTAAGCTGGGTCAAGTCGCTCACCAACCGACAATCAATACAAAGCCTGATATTTGCCCCATTTTTCTCACGTTAATGACGATTGGCTGGCCCATGGCGAGGTAGAAGGCTGGATGGTCTTCGCAGATAATAGTCCCTTGATCAGATCTGCCAACTTTTCTGTGAACTGGTGGGCCCTTCCGTACACGTTGTG